ATGCCCAGTCTGAAAGCTTTCATCATATATGCTGAGAATTTAACTGCTGTCAGAGGTCAGTGATATTAAACTGTACTGATGCTCCTGATGATCTGCATCTGTGTTTTGTGTTTTTCTGAGTGAAAACATTCGTGAATTACGCACACACTTAGAACATGTTATCCACTATAAGTTCTAGGACAAAAGCTCAGATTATATATAGTAGATTTAATATCAGCACGAGACTGGATGCTGAAATGCTTTATTCACGTGTGTAAATCCTCTTTCATGCAAAGTGTTTTAATGGTATGCATAGAAATTAAACAATGCATTTGTATACTTGACCTATTTTTCCAAGTGGGGAAGAAACATATAACATCTGCCAATGAAAAACAAATGGGATTTTTTTTTCCTTCTTGTTTTTTGGTCTGCACTTTGAGCTTATAAAGTAGATAGTAGATAGCTATGCAATAGAAATGTGGATATAAAAGGCTATCTATAAACACACAACAGGCATAACACTGACTATCTCTTCGCTTGTTAGGGATACAGTTCCTTCCCATATTAAGGAGCAACAGAACATTTTGTCCTAAAAGTTGATGTGCTACAAGCAGGAAAAATGGGCAAGTGTAAGGATTTGAGTTTGATGGCTGGATGATTGGGTCCGAGCATGTTGAAAACTACATCTCTTGCAGGGTGTTCCTAGTCTGCAGTGGTCAATATCTATTGCAGTGGTGAAAGAGCAACAGGGTCATGGGCAGCCATGTGAAGTCTGGGCTGTGTGGTCCGATCCAACAGATGAGCTACTGTATTCAAAATGCAAAAAAATTTCATGCTGGTTCTGATAGAAAAGTGTCAGAATACACAGTGCAATACGGTTTTTTGTGTATATATACCTGCAGACTAGTGAGGCCCCTGTAGTGGCCCCTGTCCACCACCAAAAGCATCAACGATGGACACTTCACCATGAGAACTTGCCACGATAATGGAAGAAGGTGGCCTGGTTTGAGAAATCATGTTTTCCTTTACATCACGTGGATTGCCCACTGTGTGTAAATCACTTACCTGGAGAACACCTGGCACCAGGAATAAGGTAAACTAGTAGACAGTGTGATGATTTGGGCTCCTGCCATCCATGTTGACATTACATTCACATGTACCACCTACTTAAGCCCCATTGCAGACCATGTACACCCTCGTATATTATATTAGGCCTCTTTCAGCCGGATCGAGACAGCGAGTTTGAGGTCTTTACTTGGATTTTTAAACATTACTGCACTCTAGAGAACTGAGAAAGAATTATTAGATTATTTGAGTCACTTTAAGTGATGTTGACTGACTATTTGGATTAGTGAAAAAATGAATTTAAAACTATCAAATTTGGAAACATTTATGTTTTGTTTGTAAATATTTGTAAAAAAAAATAACTACCTTGGTAAAAAGAGGACCTCTGGATAAGTATTATATAACATTTGTTTACAGGAGATTTCCACCTGCTGGAAAATGAGATTATCAATCAAGAAGATTAGCCCGCTTTAGTACTACATGTGATGTTTTTAGTTATAAAAGTTCAACATAAAAGCTACTTGCATAGGTAGTGAGGGTTTTTTATGTTACTGAAACATATTGTTGTAAAGTCTGCATGGCAGATGGTACCCTTGTCCAATATAAACAAATCACTGACTACAGTTACAGTATAGAATTTACATCAAACATAGTTGGTCACAATATTTTATGTAAAATGGTCATTATATTTAGTACGGGGGGGGTTACACAGCTGAGACTGCGGTCATTCAGAGCAGATCATAAATCAAATCAAAGCTTTAAAACTAAAAAACAAAATTAACATCCTGATCGTTATGTTTCACTGTGACCAGTGATTGTAAAAAGTGCGATAATAACTTCACATTTATGAATTATCATTTAGACAACATCAGAATAAAACAGATTTCTGTATATTTCTGGGTAGTAATAACACAATTTACATTAAAAGTTGAAAATGTGAAGAATATAGCTGTACATCTACTGCAAAGTTGTAGACGTACAGCTTTTGCAGACATAGTCATCTCCTTTGGCCTTTTGGTTGCTAAGGCCCAGTTGGAGACTACGGGGGCCCTGAATCAGCTCTTAAGATGTGTCATTGGATTAGTATGTGAGCATCTGCGTTTAGCCTTCTCCAGTTGCCAGAGAACACCTTGAGAAGTGTAGCTCATGTAGAGGTCTCTTGACGAAGCCGTCTTCATGGTGCGATTTCATGACTTTATTCTTTAGGATGAAGCATGTAAGGATACCACATTTGCTACTACTGTTTGTGTTTGTGCATGCCTGCTTTGGTAAGTTTACCTTATTGTTTGTCTGTTTACTGTTTACTAATCCTGCGATCAGATTGTGAATGATATTCAGACTCTGGGCTATTTTATGTATTAATTTTGTAATTCTGTCACCATTATAAAGAACCTCTGCTCAGTTTTCAGTTTATTTATGTCCTGGGTTTTCCAAATGGAAATATAAGTATTTTTTTAAGATACACAAAATTATTTGCTTGTTTTATGAAATTAGTTTTAAAGCTGATATGCAATAGTAGGTTAAAACTGTTTTAAATAACGGGAATCGTATTACAGGTAAAAGCAGCAGAGATCGCAGGTCTATGTATAGAAAGAGTATTTTAGGAGGTTGATGTAATGCACATTTAATCCCAGACAAAGTGCAAAGAAAGAGGAGGTTGTGTATACAGTTTACATAGCATTTCTTCTGCCATTTTAGCATCTATAGAGAGAGAACCAGTTAAAATTACAAATTCATATCAGTAGTATGTGTACAAAACACTCAGTAGACTTATTCAGTCATAGATTAAGGTTGTGCTTTATTGCCTCCACTCACCGATAGTTCAGGGAGCACAATTTCTTCTTTCAAAGATTATGCCAAATAAACCTGTGACATTTAAATATTCTTTTGTCTGATTTATGTGTCTGCTGGCAGCACAAGCAGATTTTGCTCCATATTTCTACGACAATGGACCCTACAGTTACAATGGAAACCTGGCCTTGTTCAGCCTCTCAGAGGACACTGCTGTTGGTGAGATTGACCTCTGTACTGGGGAACATTTAGTATGAACAGCTAATAGGACTGTAGAACAACCAATCATCAAAATGGTGTGTTGTGGTGTCCAATATGTGAGAGTCCAGGATGTTAAGTAGTCTTTGATAGATGAACAGATGTTGTGCGGCGTGTATGCACTCACACTAACATGCTCATCTGCTGCTGCCACCTGTTGATGTCAGGGACAGTTTGCTGGCTGCGAATGCAGTGCAGCTGTCCCTCTACACCTTGCATCAGTCTGGATACTCCAAATGGTACTTAGTGTTTCAGCCTGGTTTGTTCCACAGCAGTTGTTACCAAAAGAAACGTACACCTCATAGTAAATGGTTAGAAACTGTTTACCTTTCCACGATTTGTTTCTGTGAGGGGATATTTACTCTTAATAATGATATCTCTCTATAGGTACACAAATTTATCGTCTTAATGGCACAGATCCTGAAGGCCAAGAGGTGAGGTACGGCCTTTCCTTTGATCCAGGGTCCAAAGAGTACTTCAGCGTCGACTCCAAATCTGGAAACATTACATTAGTAGAAAAGCTGGACAGAGAGGTAAACTTTACAAAGATGTACAGATCGACAATTCAGTGTTTTTATAACAACTTGGTTGCTGTATTAACCTACTACTATTATTTACTTAGAAACAAGACTCTATTGATGTTCTTGTCAGCATCACTGATGGGCAAAGCAAGGTATCAACTTTTAGCTCCTTTTAAAAAAAGTCAAAATACTGAACTTCAACATGCTTTGTGGTTTTATCCTACTGTCGGTTCTTGCTTTTAGGTTGTGGAAAGAGTGACAATATTTGTAATGGATGCAAATGATGAAAAGCCTGAATTCCAAAACATGCCTGCGATCATTGATGTACTGGAAGTAAGTTAAGCCGAGACAACAGTATCTGTTTCTCCAAGTGAAAAAGGTCTTGTTAAGCTCTAAATGTTACCTTTTCTTTCTTGTACATTGTAGACAACAGAGTCTGGAATCAGTATCTACAAAGTTGAGGCAGTGGACAGAGACACAGGCTCAGGGGGCTCGGTCACCTACTACCTACAGGTATCACTTTGCAGTGGGAAAATATTGCCCACTCACACGCCCTTCCTTACACAACCCCAAAGGGATTTGTGTCACCTCCCGGGGCTCTTTTACTTGTTAGGTAAAATTGTAAACCGCTAAGTTTTTTCAATAATCTGCTTTCAACACTGATGACGTATAGTTGTACTAAGCAGGGGTTACATATATTTTCCTGTGTTACTGTGTATTTGTGCCTGAATATGTTGGTGTAGTTATGAAGATGGGGATTAAATGGCAGTTACATTTGTGTCGGCGAGGGGTGGCTCAGCGACACAATGTTAGTTTGCACTTTGGACTATTGAGAACAAAGAACAGCTGGCTTGGAAGTAGGAGACAGGCAGTCCACATCTGGACACAACAGCGTTCACCTGCCTGCTATGTCCTTGAGCATATGGGTACTTTACATCCAGATGGGCAAAGACTGGATATTGGAATTGGCTTATTTCAAGGAGCTTTTGTATGGTTTTATTCTGCCACCTGACCACTTTTCATGTGAGTGTTTGTTAAAGGGTTTTAAGAGTGCCAGTGACAGGCTTTTGCTCATGTAACCCCTTATTTGTGTTTCTGCGTGTGCTTTTAAAATCATGCATTTGTTCCATTTTCTTTGCAGAGTGCTCAGTCCACTCTGTTTGCCATCGACAGACACAGTGGAGTCCTTCGTGTCAAATCTGGAGAAATGCTGGACTATGAGAAAGCAAAGACACACTTTGTCATTGTTATTGCAAAGGTGCTTGGTGTATTATACTCAAAGATGAACATAAAATCATGAAACATGATTATAGCAGAGGAACATGTAAATTAGCAATTTCTTGATCTAGGAGACTTACATTTAAAAATGCAGATTTAAACTGTTATTACTTTTGTTCTAGGATGGTGGTGGTAGCTTTAATGGGAAGGAGCAGTTTATGTCCTCCTCTGCTACCCTGACAATTAATGTGATTGATGCTCAAGACACTCTGCCATCTTTCATTGGGACTCCCTACTTTGGCTATGTTTACGAAATCTCAGTACCAGTGAGTATGAAAACGCTCCCCCGGTGATTTTATGCACTGATTTTAGTCTAGAGTTGAAATACGTGGCAGTTAGCACAATGGCTACATTTTTGTCATTTTCTTTTTCGTTTAGGACAACTTAGTTACACTGCTGTCATAAAGCAGGATCATGTGGAATGATTAGGTTTTATATTGGCAGTATAAATAATAACTAACAAAAGAGCCCAAAACCCAAGGCACATCACATCACATAGCTTTAATTACTGGCATTTCACTGCTTTATCACTATTGCAAAATGTCACAGCAGTAGCTCATCACAGCAAGTTTACACAGTCTGACTTTCATCCAAATGAGAATAATTAGGAGTGTGACATTTAAATGAGCCTTTGAAAACAGGGAGAAGGTTAGATTTTGGCGATTTGTTGTGACTAACTGCACCAGACACATGGTGGTTCAAAAAGAGGCTTTTGAAGATCTATTTTTTATAGATGCATGCCACCACCAATTTATTAAATCCAAAATCTTTCTACTTTACTCTCTCTAGGGATCTGAAATATTCACTGTTGAGGCCAGAGATGGTGATGTGGGGAACCCAAATCCAGTCCGTTATTCATTCGATGATGGTGAGACATTTTGTCAAAGAAAGCTACAATCATCTTAAAATGAAGGGAGAAATATTTATATAAAGGTTCATCCATCTAATATTTTTCACCAGGTGATGACGGTGTTTTTAGTATCAATAAAACAAGTGGTTGCATCACCCTGTTGACTCTCCCCATTTATCTGAAGAGAGAAATCTTCAACATTAAAGTCAGGGTAAGTTGCTGTTCAGTCACCAACTCTGTTTTGCATACATTCTCTCCTATATTATTTTAATATAATAACTGCTTTATAAATCAAAGCCTGATCTTCTCAGACAGCTATTTTCTAATGACTTGCATGTAAACAAACACTTTGGGATTTTTTTGTACTTCTGACTTTATTTACAAGTGCTTGTGTCCACACAAAAATGTTTATAGACCTAATCAAAGTGCATTGATTAGCCGAACAGTGGCTCAATGAATCTACAAGGAAAATTAGGGGGAAAAACACGATAGTAAAATTGGTAGATAAAATACCCAATCGGCCCATGTCTCTGATTCTAAGGGTGATAAATATACCTTGACTTTTACTCCATCTGTTCAGGCTTCAGAAGTAAGTCCCGAAGGCAGACTCATGGACTATGAGGTCACCACAGTGGTGATCCGTGTTGTGGACCTAAATAACAATCCGCCTACTTTCTACGGAGAGAACGGCCCACAGAGCACGTTTGAGTTGACCATGTATGAGCATCCACCCGAGGGAGAGATCCTCCGGGGGCTGAAAATCACCGTCAATGACTCTGATCAGGTGAACACCTTTGTTGTCTTATTTTCTCTACACTGACTATGACAAGCTTCAAGTTTTCCTTTTTTGCAGGTATTTTTCAACACTCGTACCACTCATGGTTGTCTTTCAAAGGTGCCTTAGCCAGCCAAGAGTAACAATGACTGGTTTTTATGTAATAGCATTTGTTTTCTGTAATAATTATAATGTTATCTAATGAGTAACTGGTTTAGTCAACATCAATCATAGCATCATAGCACAACATAGTGTTCAGGACAGAGTCTGTGTTTCTGTCCTCATAATGACTTTAATCCTGCCATTATCACAGTCAATCCTTCTAAAATTGCATGAGTTTGAAAGGAATCCAACACAATTAAAAGGTGCTTTCTGTGCCATTTGCCAGCTTACGCAAGTGTCTTTGTGTTTTCAGCTCTGTGTACTTTACAAGCCATATGACTGATTTTCACTAAATATATTTTCGGATAATAATGTTGCAGCGTCAGACAGTATCTTTCTGTGTGAGCCAGAATATTATTGCTGCTACTCATCACTTTTATAAGAGACTTTACTACATGCCTGCTTTTTTTTTAGCTCTGAAAATAATGCAGATTATTATGTATTACAGATCTATGCATATGAAGCATAGATCTGATATGATAATTATGTGTTTTTGCTTTTGCAGGGTGCAAATGCTAAATTCAACCTGAGACTGATTGGACCAGGAAGAATGCTGCGAGTTGTCCCTCAGACTGTACTCAACGAGGCCCAAGTCACAATCTTAGTAGAAGACTCTGCTGCCATGGACTATGAGAAATACCACTTTCTAACATACAAGGTAAATTATTTACACTAGCATGCCAAAATATACATGCACTACAGTAGATTAAAATTAGGTTTGAAAAATGCATGTATATTTCTAATATTTTTTTCTTCCTCAGCTCCTTGCGGTTGAGATCGACACACCAGAGAAATTCAGCGCTACAGCGGACATCGTCATTCATCTCCTGGACACCAATGACAACGCTCCCAAATTCTCTTCAGATTACTACATTGCCAGAATTCCAGAAAATTCACCCGGTGGCTCCAATGTGGTCACAGTCACGGTGAGCCAGTCTCTTCATCCTGTCTAAAAATACATGCCATCACCAATGTACGTCACTCAGAGCTAAAGAGGAATGCTGATTTTAACAAAATGCCCAAGAGGGCTATTAATCCCCTAAATGTAGACTTTTTGAGCGGGGAGGGTTGGGATAATATGTGAAAACATGTAGATAAAAGCTAGGCGACGTAAGCTGCCAGATGGCTATCACTTTCATTTTGTTGTGTAACACCAAATTCACAGACATGTTTTTTTTTCTCTGATGCTTAGCAGCACATGCCTCTACAGCATCAAAATATGTACCGGTACTGAAGTAAAAGGAACACTTAAGGACATGACGATTTGATTGATACTTGGCTCACATCGTCTTTTGCCCTTGTCTGTTCCTGTCAGCCCCACAGGGACTCAAAGCAACAGGGAGGCTCATTATTAAATCCTGACCTTGCGTGAACACCACAGGGGTTTGTTGCCTTGATCCCAGGCAATTTCAATCAGATAGAAGAGCAGCCAACAACTGACCTTGGACGCATAGAGACAGTGAACAGGCATCCCAGCAGCTACAGACACAAAGATTAGCCGATGATGATGATGATGTTCCTATGACATCAAAAATCTGTCTTTTTATAGCTGACCCCTGAAACATCATGTTCCAGTTGAGCACATTTTCATTCAGTTTACTGAGTCCATGCTGGCAGACAACACGAAAGTGCAGATTTTTCTTCATTCATGATGAAAACAGATGCAAACTAAAAAGAAAGAGGAAAGAGAAAAGGCAAGTCAACACAGTACTGGTCATTGGCCGTGCTTGAATGACAGTTTAGTGTAGGATAGGTGCTGCAACATATTAAACTCACTGCTGTAAAACTTGCGTTGAACTCAGGTGTTTAATCTACAGCCAAACATGACATTTTATTCTCTATGATCTATCATAGCTCTGTCATTCACTTACACGGCACTATATGGATGAGACAGGGTGCTAAATGTCTATTAGGTTGTACATTAAATATTGATAATTGCATGGACCCTCCTTCTCGCCCTGTGGTTGCTCGGATAGATGGATGGATGGATATTTGTATCTAATGACATATTAAAAACAATACTGTTACAATACTAGAGTAGTTAAATCATTATTAAATAATGACAAATAACTAATGAAAGTATAATTACTCAGTGCATAAACATATTACAATAACATGAATCTGTGTGAACATGAATTTTGTTTTTTGTTTTTCCCATGTGAATATGATGGCTTTTGCTGATTTTGTCTTTACTTTATGTTCAAAATAAAGATTTTATTGACTGATTGATTCATTGATACCTGTCTACAGGCATTTGACCCAGACTCAGGACCTTGGGGTGAAGTGAAGTACTCTATCTATGGATCAGGGGCTGAGCTGTAAGTGCAATAAATGAGCTTTATGTTTTGCCAGTAGGACACAGTAAAAATGAGTCCTTTTAAATGCTGTTGTTCCATTCACATATTCAGATGTAACATCTCTGCAACATCTCCACAAGACCTCCACATATTCACATGCATTGGTGTAGAAACAGCATTAATTTGATTTTAGAATATATGTTTTAAATGTTCAGAGAATAACTAAATAACTTTGTCGCCTTCACTGTGTCTATTCATCAGTCTTTGGATAGTGATCACAGAAGAATATTTTTAATGTTTATAGTACAAAGAAAAAAGAATATATTTTACTATACTATAGTAAAATATAGTAATCAACACCTGACATGTGGGTTTTTTTCCAGTAGTGAAACCAAATTTTATAGAATAAACATTATATCTAATGTACAACTGTGTCAAGAAGCTCAAATAAAGTAAATCTCTTCAAATAATGCACTACACTGTAAGCATGCACTGTAGCAAAAACACATCTGCCTGAAAGCTGGACAGATATGTAAGAGCACACTAGTTTTTCATATCACGACTTGATTCTTTTTATTTCCCCTAAGCACCGTAGCCCAGAGGATTTACTGGTGTTTTTCACTTTTTATTAGTTTCCCAGCAGAAATCCATTCTCCAGATCCAAGACTGCACAGTTCTTTCTGATATTACAGAGTACTGTATATCCACAGCTTGCATTTACTCGCACTTCAAATGCAGACACATCTTGCCATTGGGATCTTTTATTTTTTGGGTTTATATTTATGTTCACTGTCTGTTCAGCTGCAACACAAACCCACAGGCACATGCTGGTAGGAATGAGGTTACCATCTACTTTGGTTCTTCAAATGCAAGGGGAAAGTGTTTTTACACCCCTCTGTAGCAATAAATTAGAAGAGATATGTGATGTCACATCAAGGCATCAAGGACAAGGATTTCCAAAATAAGCAGAGGAGAGAGATTTAGCTTAGTGCGTGCTTGTTTAGTCAAACTGATTTTGAAACTGTGTCACCTCAGATTATTCTCGAAATTGCTGCTTTGATTTTAAAATGGTTATGAAGCAATGCATGACCACATGCTTGGGCTCTGCATCTGAAAGAATAAAGCAGTTCATATTGCAGACTTTACACTGTTTTATACTCTGTGGTTGAGCGCTTAAGTGTACACAAGAGTAGACAGTCCTTTTGCCTGCCCGCCCTCGGTCTGCGATAATCCTTTAATGGGATTGGAGGAGAAAATAGACTGCTCTTTGCTTCTGACTAACTTGTGCTGGAACCTTGTAGGACAGCTAAACAAGTCAGTTTGTGAAACAATCTGTATCTTTTACTGTATCTTATCTCTCCAGCATCGCATAATTAAAGAAAATCTGGCACTATAGGTTGAAGTTTAGTAATATGAGGTCTCCATAACAGCATCCTGCTTGTTTGTTTTCCCCAAAAAGTATTCTTCTTATTTCAATTTCATATTTTTCCCCTGGTTGTCCTCACCTCATCAGGAGTGGTTCTGTGCTCCATCAGTTGAGCCTACCCCGAGAGTTTGAGAACCAGAGTTTGACCTCGCTCACTAACACCTCTGAAGTCACCTTTCAAACTTGTTTTATCTTGTTTGTTCAATTTAATGAAAATTTTTGGATTTACGAGAAGTTAGGGCAACCTTTCAGTGAGACAAGACTCCGAAAAGCATCTGCACGACTTCAACTAGTTCCAGTCTTTATACAACGTTAAGCTAGCCATGCTAAGACTTGCTGTTGCTGCATACTCTATACTCTTAATCACAAAATCATTCCATTGAATAACAATCACTTCATAATGCACCAAATGTATGTGTTTATAAGATCACAGGACCAACTGACGAGAACAATCTGGCTTCTAGAAGTAATAAGATTGATTTTGTGTTAGCTAAAAATGAGGTAGGTTTTTTCTGGACCTAAATGACACTCTAAAGATTTGAGGTTGGGGTATTAGCAGCCTACATCACAATTATATTTCAAAGCTCCAAAACTCACAGTCTGTGTGACAAAATCAGTGCCAAGATTTAGCAAGAAGTGCAATCCAAGTGCTTAAAACAGATGACTAATTGTTTAGGGGGGGAAAGTATCATATAATCTACAATAACAAATACGTATAAAATGTTCATGGTGCATGGTGTCTTGATATCCATTGTCCAAAGAAGTCAGTTTACAGAAGACTCATCACTGTATACAGGTTCCTGATCAAACCTGACTCTGGGATCATCTACACACAGCCGTGGGCAAGCCTGGATGCTGAGGTGAGGTCCAAGTATAACTTCTATGTGAAGGCAGAGGACACAGAGGGGAAATACAACCTGGCTGAAGTCTTTGTGACTGTGTTGGACTTGAATGACCACTCTCCTGCTTTCTATGATAACTTCCTTGAGAAGACCATGGTGATTGGAGCTCCAGTGAAAATAGAGGTATGCAGCTCTCTTTAAACAAACTTGGAAACTTGGTAAAAGTGAATATTTTCAGTACCCTTACTGTCTGCAGGCTGTGGATGATGATGCAGAGGTCCCCAACAACGTTATCGAGTATGCCATCATGAAAGCTGAGCCAGAAAACAATATCTTTGACATTAACGCTGATACAGGCGAGATCATGCTGAAGTCCTACATCAAGTCAATGGCCATCATTCAGAACATCACCAAGAAGAGAGACTGCACCTGGTCGCTGGTGGTGCAGGCTCGTGACCGAGGCCATCCATCCCTCACCACCACCGCCGTCGTCAAGATTGACATCACTGAAGCTGTAAGTTGAAACAAAGCAAAAGACCAGCAATATGACAATGAAATCTATGTGAGGCCTTCACGATAAACCCACTAAGATACCAGTTTTTTATGCATCGACATTGTATAAATCGTCCTGCACAGTTGCGATGTTAACAGCATGATATCAAACAGAAGATCCACAGTTTATTATTATTTTTATGCACATTCATCAAATTTGAAACACTATACAAAGTACTATACCATCATATTTTAATTTGAGAATGTATAGTGAAATACAAAACTGAATCTCACACAAATGCAATTGTCATGTTTACAGATCAAATCCAGATTTTTCTCATACTTCATGGGCCTAAGGAAACGTCCAGGGACAGTGTTTGGGATTTGTTTGACCATTGTCAGCTTTGCCATTTCACTGACAGTCTTCATTTCAACTGTTATGTACTGCAGCTCTTTGAAAAAGACGCGTGTGCAACCTCAGGGCAAGATCAGAAAGATTATAAGGAGGCCTGTGCCATAAAGGAAGCTCGCCTTGAGCTCATCAGCACAGCAATACTATTGTTATTAGTATGTGGTACCAAGAATTTGTAGCAATCCGTGTCCAGAGGATTTTATTTCAGAACAAGGCTGTGTCTGTAAAAGAGTACAGGAGCACAATATAAATGATCCTATACAATTTGTTTTACCTGTATTTCTGGTTTAATATGACGCTACGACCAAATTAAACAAATTATTTACGTTTGTGTTTGGGTCACACATAAATTCTCATTTTCAGAGAAATAGCCGGAGCCCAGTTCGTTGTATGTGTGCACATACTTGGTCAATAAAGCTGATTATGATTCTGATGCTGAATGGTCTCCGCTAGTTTCCCAGACAACCTCTCTGATCTTGTCTTGACAAAATATAAGAAGAGCAGAATACTAATTTAATAAAAATTAGTGAAGCAGGCAACAAAATCAATCGTCCATCAAGGAAACTACATTTAATAAACAAGCGACTTTGTTTTTCTTTATGTCTGTGTAAATTATAATGGCACTAAAGACTTATTTAACACATCTTTTACCAAATGATGAACGCACAAAGTGCAACAAAACATACACAGGACATATTTTTGTGTGACAGAGTATGACTTCACTCCCATGGATGTGAATTCTCCCTGTGCTCTTTTACAGACTCAACTCAAAGGGGGGCCTTTGGGATCATTTTTAATGCAGAATAGAAACAAGCCTTTGCAAATCCTAGGTATGCTTGCTGGTATCATTAGTCTCATGATCATAGTGACAGTCCTCATCTCCACCGCAACATTCATGCGCAACAAAAAGTCCAACCGGATCCTGCCCAATCGCCGTGTGAAGAGAAGGCTGAAGACACAGCACACCTGGCTTTTTAAAAACCCCTTAAAGAGACCCGAAAGGAACGAACAGAAATTTAAGGTTAAAGAGGAAGAGCGGGAACCAGAGGTAATCGTGGAGAATGTCAACCACAACAACAATGCTGGCAGGATTTTGAGACAGTGGCCACCGCCACCGCCACCCTGTGCACCTCCACCAGCTTTTTGCCTCCCGGTGGAGAGGCAGTGGGTCATTCCCACAGTCTCAGCAACCGTGGCACCCAAACCTCTAAAGAAGGCAGTGGTGACCAGGCAGGACTCTGTGAGCAAAGCGCTGGTTTCAGAGCTCAAGATGAGGCTGGAGCAGAAGAGAAAGTCAGATCATTAACACTATTTAATCAAGGTTCTATTTTTACTCTCAGACCTGAGGCCATCTCAAGAACTTAGAAAGGACAGACAATCAGACAGAGTTTCGTTAAGTCCTGTGTGATGATAAAAAGCTCCAGAGCAGCCAGCAAATGAACCTGAAGGTGGGATTGTTCGGTAGACTGATGCTTTCATAACCTACATGAACAGTGCTTTGTGTGTGTGTGTGTGTGTGTGTGTGTGTGTGTGTGTGTGTGTGTGTGTGTGTGTGTGTGTGTGTTGAAATATACTGAAACAACAAAGAGCTTCACTCCTTGTAAATCAACAACACAATTTTTATTAAAACAGAAAAACATTCCTGGCATGTTTGTCATTATTCAAACCATGTTTTCAGTTCACACCCTTTGGCTTTTGTATGACTCTGAAACAATTAGATCCCCCTTATTTATGTGGTGACACACCAAATTTAATATTCCTGAACGCAAACCTGGTTTTGGAAATGAAGTCATTCAGAATTCAACAAATGAGACTGTTTGTTTAGGATCTATCCAAGCTCCTTACAAGAGATTTCATGACACTTGAACTCTATGACAAGATCAGCCCAGGTGAAGGAGACCAAGTGATCACATAAGAAGGGCCTTTAATCCGACTCTGCAGGTGTGCTGTACTGTTTGGATCACTGTTTTGTAGCAGCTGCCATATGTTTATTTTCTGGGTTCTTCTGTTTTCTATGTGGCATATTTTGGGAATTTACTACTAATAAAAGCACATTGTTTTTCCAAATAAAGGCAGTTTTAGTTAAATAAAGTAATAACACACGTAGCAACATTAAAGTTCTCCCTAAACTATATTATCAAATTATAAGCTGTATGTTATAGATACAGCTCTATTAACTTGTTAGTTTGCAAGATGAGATTACTTTATTTAGGTTACAATTATTTAGAGTTACTTTAGAGTAGAGTATTTCCCCTTCTTCACCAACAAATTTAACTTTTCAATGAACTGTAAAATTTGAAAAGGCACTTATTGAAGTATTTATAAACGTGCTGATTAACTGTTCAGGCATCCAGACTGCAACATAGTTAATGTGACATGTATCATCACTACCAGGTGTGCCTGTCCAAAGTAGCCTTGAAGGCACTGACACAAACTTAAACACAGCTTTGATGTCATTAATTTAAGACAAATGCCGTCTTAATGAGCTTGCAAACCGTACTCTACTGCCACTTTCTGGTAACAGTAGAAGCTGCTTAAACTACTGTCCCTGAGGTGAAACACAAAGAAGGTGTTTAAAAATACTTCAAAATGCTATTCTCAACTTTGCAAATGTTCATGTTGCAGCATTTGTTGTGATATTGCCATAGTTCGAGCACTAATAGTCTTGGAGCACGATGAAAATATGAACAACAGGAATTAAAATGAGATGCTTGAAGAAGGCCTTACACAACAATATTACACATGTGCTGTTTGTTTTTTGTTTTTTTGTTTTTTTATTAAACCAGATGTTCTGCAAATATGCAGAGGTGGCAAAAGCACAGACATCCTGTGCAGACACTAGCACAGACACTAGTGTTGGAAAAATACTCCAGTAAAAGTTGAAGTACTGATTCAACTTCTATACTCAATTAAAAGTAAAAAAAAAAGTACTGCCTCAGAAATATACTTAAAGTTAGAAAGTAACTCCTAGACCTGTTTTTATGGAAAGCTAACTGGACCTCTTGCCTTATTCATGTAATAATTAAATTAAATTAGTCGATATGAATACAAACTTTATTTCAGTCTAAATATTAATTCTAATAAACATACTCTGCTTGAATCCGTTAAGCTGAACATGAGCAGGAAAAAAAAAAGGAAAATAATAAAAAATAGCTCTATTTTCTGTTAATCACATGATGATCAAATGAACACAGTCAGGGTTTAAAGTGGGATTCAGCAGGTGGGGGGACCCTAAAATCAGCTGTAACGGCTCAGTATGAGGAAAAAGAATCACAACTCACAATAATTTCTGAGTGCTTCAGTAGATTTTCTCAATGTACAGGCTGTGATTAGCTGACCTGCTGCTCTTTGAGGATGTACACAACTGAATTCAACCAGATGTGAGCAGGTGTTTCATGAGTTGTCCTGGCTCATTTCCATCGTCTACACTGACAGTACACTGTTTATGCTGTCTTTATATTACACCCTATGCAGCTGGTATGCAGCTAGAATTTGATGAATGAATCTAGGCATTATCAGCTAAAGTTCATATTAATCTCTAGTACTCTTTATGTAACTTAACTTGACCATGAGCACCACACTCACTGTGCACCAGTCACACACACTTTAAATCCATCACAGTACAGGACACTAACCAGTTTATCCTGCACTAAACTGCAGACTATTTTCATGCAACCTTTAAGTAACGCCGTCAGCCCACCTCATTTTATTTTGCATAATATAAAAGTTAATAATGTCACACACAAACAGTTTGTATGTTTGCTGATGTTTGTTAAGCTGGTAGAAATGCTGCATTTGAAATTACCTGCCACGAAATATAACTCCCTTTATGGTCACTCTTCTTCTGTAGGGCTAGCTAGATGCTGAAGTACCACTACCACAGCTTACCTGTGGACACCTGCAGTCGTTCCGACACCAAAACCCCCAGAAAACAAACAATTTTTTAAAAAAAATCACTGACTCACTTTAACCCCAAACTGTGGCACACAGTTTTTTTTGCATCTTTCATCTCTTTTTACCCAGCATCTCCTGGTGATTAATACACAGGATTGCCTTTAATGTGTTACTGCTTGGGCTCAAATGGGTTTGATGTTTGAAGGCCCACAATGACATGAAATTATAAGTCCCCTCAAATGTTAAATCAAAAGTAACGAGTTAAAATGTTAGAAGTAGAAAGTGCAGATATTTGTTTAAAACGTAGGGCTGAAAGTAAAAAAGTTTCCATTAAAAAACTACTCAGATAAATTCTACTTAAGTGCAGTAACAAAGTATTTGTACTCAGCAAATATGTAATATACTTTATTATGCTGATACAAGCCCTTTTGCTCTGCTCAGATTCAATGTCAATGTCAGCACTACTAATTATGAAGTTACACTAAACCAATCTCTGGGTATTTGTGTAGACATCAGGCAAACATGCACACTATTTCAGAGTTACATAAAACATGAAATTTGCAGATTACCCTCTCTAATCCAAAAAAACAACTTGTTCATCTTTGCACAATATTGCATAGCGGCCTAAAACGCAAAATCCATCTGCCCTGATCTAGTTTGAACCGGCAAGATGTGTGTGACTGAAACTGAACATTTTGCAGCCTCACCTGACACATTTGACGTGCTTATGCTTCCAGTACGATGGAGACAAAACTATAATAAAAGAAAATCCACATACAAAAACGGTTTCACTTTTTTTGCAGGTCAGGACACTTAAAGTTTAAAGTTTTTTGAGGATCCAAACTCACATTTTTTCCCCCGTTTTTTTTCCAATGTTGCAAGCTGTTAATGCTCTGGAGTGAAATGGGGGAATATGAGGAGAAGCCCAAATGATCATGCATTATGACATGTAAGAGGCAGCCAGGATTACTGGGCTATTTGACAGAGGATTACAGAGTGGAAAGTTGCAAAGAGCATTGATGCTTTAGAGTGAAAGAAAGCATGAAAGGTTCAAAGCACCCACAATATGTTTGCAGCAACAAAAGTTTTAAAAGGTAAATAAAATGTGAGTTTTCCTTACTAAAAAGAAAAAAAGGCTTTTGTGTAGAGGGTTAACGTTTCTTTTATTTATGTTGCTACTGCAGAGGTCAGTAATAATAATGCACTGCTTTAGGCAACATTAGGGCAAGTGGGGAAAAAATAAGATAAAATCTTGTGCTGTTCTGTGCTGAAGTAGCTGAAATTGTGTGTTTATAGAATTCTACATTGCATTGTGTCATGGGCAGTGGAAAAGGATTACAACAAAAAGCAGCATCAATCCCCCACCCACAAATCATATAAAGACATCGGAACAAGAAAGAAAGCAGATGTATCTGTGCTCCAGAAAATGAGAGCTGCCAATCTCAGCCAGTCATTTAAAACCCTGATCTTAAGTGAATACATGCAAGCCCCGTCAGAGATGAACTGATCTTCTTGCGTCACAGGGGACAACACATGGAGTTGGAGGAGAGGGTTTGTGTGATCTGATCATAAAGTGACGGCAGGAGGGGATATTGGAGAGGATGCCAGTGTTTGGGTATTATGTCAAATGAACAATGCCATTGGCCAAAGGATATCTGATGTGCCATCTGTGCGGGTTGGTCAGTGCAGATCATGTGTGATACGTCGTTGCTGTATTGCGTGTGTACACAGAAAAAAAACGGGAACTGTGACGTACATGTACAGTGACTGAGATAGGATTTAAAGAAATCAATGAATAAAACTAAACTGAATGCCTTTCAGCACATTATCCACAAAAAGGAAACTTCCTCTCTGCATAACCTAATCCTATGAATGAATTTCACTCAGATGCAATCAAGCGCAATTTTTGCAATTTGATCTTTAAGGCTATGCCTATCTTCAAATATGGAACACACAACTTAAATAATAAAACAATGAGATTCAAATAAACGTGTGTTTTCTGGTAGCCGCAAACTACATAAAACCAGACTCAAAGGTAAGGTTTTCTCCCTACTTTGAGATTTTCCCCTTATAATCCTGCTTTAGCAAAACTATAAAAAGGGCTAAACAGACACTGACAACAGACAGTATGTTTTAAAGCAAAATATATTTTCTGCTGGGTATTTGTAAGAATCTATAGTAACTGACACTAATTCTGCATATGTGCTTGCTTTATGTAAAACCTTTGTAGAATTTATAGAAAATGTAGTGAAACAACCACTTTAGTCTGCACACATGAAACATGTTGAGGTATATATGCACTACCACACAAAAAATGTAACTAGAACATTTTCTATTTACAAGGTGTGAGGTTTTTTCATATAATAACCATCTGTTTTTCTAATTAAAAATCCATCCTAACTTACACTTTTGACATGACAAGAAGAAAATGAGGTAAAATTAACACGCATGTAAATCCATAGAATAATGCTTAAGTGCTAACACATAATAGTTGATAAAGAAGCTAATATCCATCATTGGAGAAGCTGGAAAAAAGTCTTCTTTAGAAAGTCATTTGATATCGTTCTGATTGAAATCAATGGCAAAGGCTTTTTCTTTTCTGTTTCAAATATTTATAAAATGAATTATTACTGATAGTTAAAAATGCTGCATTGTGATAACAAGAGAGATGCATTATACTTCAGTCTGAAAAAAATCAACTTCAGCACAGCCTCTACCCTGGTGCAAATCCTTGACATAACGGCCATCATTCACATCTTTGCAACAACCTCCTCGGCCTAGAACAGAGGAAGAGATGAGATTAAAAGCAAGGCAGAAAATATGATCATTCCCCTGAATATTGTAGTAATATAAGCCTAACAGCACTGGATCTTGAGCCACTCCTCATTTCTGCATGTTTTGCTAGGATAAAGGGAAAAAAGTGCAACAATTTTTTTAAAGCATGCCCACATTTTTAGAATTATAGTATGTAAGACAAAAACAGAGTTTGTAGAGTTCTAACAAGCTTTAAAGTCAATAAAAACCTATACTTTTCAACGCATCCTTAACTCTATGAGACAAGCTTTCTTGTAATTTAATTTAGCAGTCTTCTTTGGATGTTGACTGTCTTTTGTTCTGTTCTCTGTTCTCTTCAAAAATTTGAGGTCTGGGCTCTAGATCTGCTGATCCATTGACTCTTCTAGAGTTGATGGATCGACTGAAGGGCCCAATGCCTCACTCAGGGCATGTGTCAGGTCTTTTCTTTTCTTTTAAAGCATATACTGCACAGCATGCCTAGACGTTTTCAACTAATAGCACTTTGAAACTCACCTTGTTGAAGCAAACATATTTTTTATGTCTATCCAACTGTGTTAGCTTTGGCTTTTTTCATAGACTAAAGAAATGGGGGGAATGATCTGTTTTTGCAACAGGCTGTTCGAAACCACGTGCCTAAAGATAGAATTTAAAATAGGTTTGTTACTAAGTTGTTTGTTATGTGTAGGCACAAGTGTCTTTATTATGCATGTCTGATTCAGGTCAGTGTTAGGTGGCTTAACACACAAAAAAACATTCAAAAAACAAGCCAAATATTGAGAAATAAGGGGTGGCTCAAGACTTTTTCACATTATAGTAGAGCTAGTATTTCTATTATTTATTCCAAAAATAGAAAGTAAGACATTGTTCTATAACAATGTCACTGCCATGTTTTCTGTTGTTGTTTTAACTGAGGGTTTTTTAATATAGTTCAGCTGTGAGTCTGCTGTGGTCAGCTTTGGCCTTATTCAGTCTGTCCTCTGACCTCCTCCTCACCTTCCTGTCTTCACTGGAACCTTTATTAACCAGGCCCTCATCACTGGCGGCCTGCAGACTGTCGAAGGTACCCTGCCTCTCCCTTTCCATGCCTCCTGCTGAGCCTCTGTCTCTCCTTCGGTTCTTCCAGCTCTCCATTATACCATCCAAACAGGCCATCCTGGTGTCAGTGGTGCATGCATACATGCCTACAGGCACTGCCAGCACCATGGCTAAAACTATCACTACTATATGTATCAGCTTCTCCCTCTGTTCCATCTCAGTGATGTCACTTCCTGTTACAAAGATGATGCACTGTTCTGGGCGTGGTGCGTGATTCTTGAGGGTTACACAGATTTCATATTTAGTCGCAGGCATCAGGTCCGAGATGGAGTAAGAATTAATCCCAGGTCCAATGTAGATTATTTCTTTTTTATCAGCATCTGCACGACCAAAGTGGATCGTGAACCAGGTTTCAGTGGGGCGTTCTAGGGCAGCGAACCACTCAATGGAGATACCCCGTATTGTTTGCTTGGCGATGCGGATGTCGATGTAGACATTTTCATCACCAGCCCGCGGTACAGCTGGGAGGAGTGAAGACTGGGAGCTTCCTCCAGAGCGCACCTCTAGAAAGATGCTGACGGAGGAGTTTCCAATGAAGTTGACAGCGATGCAAGTGTAGACACCATGATCAGCTGCATGGACAGAGGGGATCACCAGGAGGGATCTGATGGTGTCATCATCCACTCTTTCTTGAGATTCTGGGATGACATTAGGGCTGTTATTTTATGGGAACAGCAAGCTTACAGAGTAAAATATTTTTAAAAATTAAATAACATTAAATAACATTAAATAAAAAGACTAAACAAAAGTGTCCTGCAACTGATCTTCCACAAACATACATAGAATTAAAGAGTCCTGTACTTTATTAGACAGTCATAGATACACATTGTCTGTTTTTTGTTTTAAACAGTTAAACAGTAAAATAACAACTAATGTTCATTATATATTGTGCAAACCTAAGCTGAAGTGATCATTACCCTGATAGGAGCTAAAAAGTTCAATTTACTGTAACCTGCACTATATTTCCATCTATAACAAATCCCAAGAATTTTGCAACTTGAACAATTTTGTTGTTCTTAAGTCAAAATAGAGGATGGTTTGTTTTGCTTCATCCACAAAATCGAAGGTTTAAAATAATAATTATTCTCCTGTGATCTCACATTGTAGACTGTAGTTATTATACTTGCATGGCTCAGTATTGTTATAATGTTTGAGAATATTTCTTGTGAGCTAAGACAGATGAATGTCAGCAGCAGAAATAGTGGTGGGATAGCAATGGGGGCAGTAGTGTGGTTATTATGAGTTTGCATGTTGTTTGATTGATCTGCTGTAAGCACTCCTCTCAGCAAGTTAAGTCTAATGACACGCCGGTTTATTTAATTACAAGGTGGCCAAACAAGATTGACAGCAGTGTAGACTCTTAATCAACACTGACAGTGTTGTGCAGATTGGGAGATTGGTGGTGCTTACATCACCATGTGCATACATTGAGTTTTAATCCTCTTGATCTTAATAAAGGTTTGCTGCGCCACCATTGAAATGTGTGTTTAAGTATCAGATGTGCTGTAGTTTATTACACACTATGGTCACCACACTCTTACCATGAAATCCTCTGATTATCTTCAGACCATATGTCCACCACACTGAAGGGTCAGGCCTTGCTTTGGCGATACATCGCAGGGTGACGTTGGCGCCCTGTGGCAGGCTGATGTTGGCTGATGAGGTGCTGACTTCAGGCTTCATGCATGCCTGTAGCTCTATCTCATGGAAGAACTTGCCCGCCCTAAAGTCCGGCCCTGAGCAAGTCAAGTAGGAGTTCATCAATATAATCGGAGGGCTCAGAGACCTGATGAACTCCACGAAGCCCTTTAGGCGACAATCGCAGAGCCAGGCGTTGTCGTGGAGTGCCAGGACGACGTTTGGCCCAGATGTTGTCGCCTCCCGCTCCTCCATGTTCTGTAATTTTTGGTAGAGAGGCCAGTTTTGGAAGACCTCCTTCGATATCACCGTAAGACGATTGAAGGATAAGTCTAAGTAAGTCAGACCTGGCAAAAACCTTAACGCATGCTCCGGTAGGACGTCCAGCTGGTTGTGCTTCAGATCCAGGATCTTGAGAGCCGGCGTGTCCTCGAATGCTGTCCATGGTACTGAACGTAGCTTATTGCCTTGCAAACGGAGCTCGGTTAAGTTCCTCAAACCCTCCAGACCCTTTGAGTTTATCAGTGTGATTTCATTGAAGTTCAACCACAAGTTCTCCAACGTCAACGTTTTTGAGAAAGCCCCTCTGGGTATTTCAGTAAACTGAGACTTTTCAATTCGTATTTTTGTCAACTCATGTGGAAGGTCTTGTGGTATAGCCCCAAATGCTCTCTCCTCCATACATATTAATGACCTAAGATTAAAAGAAAGAGTTTATATGATGATGTTATTATTTATTGTAATATCTGACTGACTGCTAGGATCCGTCAAAAAACAAATGTTACCTTCTGGAGGCAAATAACTATATAACTATATATTATAACTATATTCTGTATCACTGACTCATATACACCCACAGACATATAAATAAAACAGAAATCGCCAGGAGGACTGAACTACTTGAAACCAGTTCTTACCTTCCATGTCGGTCTTCTACACAGCTGCACCCGCGTAAACACTGAGAAAAAGTTTCACAAGCCTGAATGTTTATTAAAGCTATAACAAGCAGGTAACAAATTATGTCCATAGTCCACAAAAAAAAAAAAGATCCTGAATTTGAGGGCTACATTCGTGCTCCAGACATGCCGAGTGCGGCAGACCAGAGAAGCCTATTAAGCTTAATCCCTGACGTACAGTGCAGGAAGAAGTGACATTTAAATCTTGGGCAAGACACGCACGATTAACACTTAGTGTCACTAGGTCTGACCCACTGTGCCTTTTAGATAGCTCTATATTCTGATTAGTAAACTATAAATAGTTCAAAGTTTGATATTGTCCAAGAGATTAAATATGCAGATATATAAACAAAATATTTTTTAATGAACTTTGTAAGTGAAGATTACAGAGACCCATAGTATCTCAGAACCAAAGTATGGAGACTGATTATTATTGTGAGTTGAAGTAGAGTTATAAGAACACACAATATCACTCAAGTACATGCAGTATAAAAGTTTATTTAACTATATTCAAATAGGTAAGTATCATTGGAACGAACAGATCCACTTTTAATGGGGTAATGATGCCTCTAGGTGGCACAAAATAGTCACATGGAAAGATTTTAAGTATGTGCCTCATTGGGGGAATATAAATGATTTAACATTTCTTTTTTGCACCATCTCCACCCTATTTACATTGTGTCATAGTTCAGTCCTTCAGTACTTCTCTCCAGCTCCAGCTTCTCTCCATTCACCAGAGAAATGAACCATGCCTATGTGTATATCTTCTCTCAGAACATATGACAGATATATACAGAGGCACAGAATTAACTGCATATGTATATGTGTACATAATCTGATAAAGTATTTACAAATCATACACATACATATATGATATAAACAATGGATTGTCTACCATTGACTTCCCTTTAAATTAAATTGGATTGGAGAGGTTTCTTCGCTGGGCTGTGCACGTGAGGTGGAATAAAACTTTACAGTGTTTGCTATGCTCTTTCACTTCATGCATCATGTTTTCTTCTTACAGGCTTAGTGATAAAAAACATTCTTTTAGACATAAAAGCATGAGTGTGCTTGCAGTTTAATATTAATGGATGAATATGTGTGTAACAGTCCAGTGAGTTTCACTACATCTGCAAGAAACATGAAATTTTCCAGATCTACGCAGTTTCCCAAATTCTTTAAACTGATATTTCCATTATTGTGCAGCGTGCAAAAGTCCGTTGATAGAAGTTGGCTCTCTGTGGCGGTGGAGTTGGTGGCATTATCCAGCGAGGAGGGATGGGAGGGGGTGTATGGGAGCGCGTTAGAGGGGGACTGACGTCAGGATGCTGCTGAGGGGAAGAATATGGGTAATGCTGGGGATACGGATGTGGGTTGAGATGGGGATGAGGGTGCCGGTGGGCATGTGAACGAGTTTTGGGGTTTGGACTGTGACGTGAGTGTGGGTGAGTGCGGGGAAGATGACGTGGAGCAGGAGCCGGAGCTGGAGCATGACGTCAGCAGAAGTACTCATTAGGTTGTCCCTCTATTTTAGCTGTGGCCTCGGAGTCCAGGCTGGAGCGGGCTGACAGCAGCCGGTTAGACTCCTCGGGATTCAATCTGTTCAAATACTCACCCTCGAGCCCTTTGGCCTTTGTGCCGGGTGAGAGTGTTTCAAATGTAACATATGAATCTTGGATGTCTTTTGATTTCTTTCCCCAGTACTTCTGAATGCGTCTCTTCAGCGCCCCGCAGCATACAATAACAGTGAGCGGGACTGCAATGATACAGGCCACTGTGATCACAATAACATTAATCAGCTTCTGGGTACCAGTAGCACTAGCTGCTTCATCAGTGGAGAATATGACACACTGCTCCTTCTTGGGGATCAGACCCTTCACACACACACAAGCAATGTACTTGGTCCTGGGCACCAAACCATCAATGGTTACACGGTTCTGCCCAGCTCCAACATTGATCTTTCTCATGTCCCTCTCTCCAAACACTGCATAGAGCACACTAAATGCTGTTGTGTTTTTGGCTTTAGGGGCTCTCCAGTTTAGAGAAATTGTATTGTCTGTGTCCCCTACAACTTTTACTGAGCGGACCACTCTGTCCGGGTCCTGCTGTAACGATGAGGCGTTAGCTGCCAAGTTACTTAGATTAGTCTTTTCCAGGTCCAGCAATGCATCTGAGTTGGGGGAGGTGGCAGGCCCTGGGGTGGCTCCTTCAGTCAGGCTGTAACTGGATAGTCCAGGATCAGGCCCAACACCAGGCAGGAGGCCAGGATCCAGGGCCGGCAAAGATGAAGGAGCAGAGGTTGGAGCCACATATCTGGCCACCAGTTTCTCCTGGTAGGCAGCTTTGCCCATTTGGTTTGGTTTTTTGATTTTGGGCTTCTTGTCATTGTTGGTTTGGTTCCCCTCTGGTTTTGGCGAGTTGGAGACAACGAGGGAAATGACAGCCTCTGCATTCCCTGCATAGTTAGTGGCCTTGCAGATGAATTTCCCTGAATCACGGTAGGACACTGCTGGTACACTGAGGATTGACCAGGTGATTCCTTCCTTTGAGGTTTCCTGCTGGACTGTAGTGGCAGAGATGGAATAACACAGTTATAAAATAACAACAGAAGAACGATTTTAAAAAAATAAAGTAATTTGACACCCGAGACGTCCCCTTTGACAAATGTGAAAAGAGACAACAAGCTGGTGATTACACAATGTTGCATTGATGATCAGTGTTGCGTAACTCACTGTGTTGGCAATAGATGTCACTCAGACTTACTAACTCCACTCGTGGCTCTCTATTTAATTAACAGCAGCAATACAGAGCACACAAAATCATCTTATCTCATCTATCCAAATAGCTGCTGACTCACCTGTTCCATTGAGGGCTCGTCCATCTGCCCTGCGCCATGTCAAGTCTGGGATGGGGACGCCAATGGTCCCACACCGGAGCAGCACATTGTTTCCAACAGCACTCCTTACTCGTGCCACAGCTGTGTGGATACGTGGAAGCTGACAGCGGCGAAGCTCTGCGTCGCTGAACAGGACCCCCGACACGCTCTCCGGAGCTGAACATCGAAGTCTCGTGTCGATGAAAGCCACTGAAAGAGTCGGAGACTTCTGGAACTGGACCAGGTCATAGAGCCGGCAGTCACACACCCAGGGGTTGTCATGGAGACCTAAGGGCAAGGGTACAAGTGAGGCTACAGGAGGAAGACAAGAGTCCAGCTGTGGATGAAGTGATAGACCAGCCTACAGATGGTTGGTGTGGATGTAGGGATGTTAATCCTGTAAGAGGATTAATATTTAATTCATAAACTACATCATGGCCATGACTATGGCAATGATTGTGATGATGACGATAATGATGATGATGATGATGATGATGATGATGATGATGATGATGATGATGATGGTGAAAATTGACTAGAGATCAAGATCAAACTTTGCTGTCATTTCACACTCCCTACAAGAAGATTATAAGAAGACTCGTTGTTGATCACAACACCTCCACCAACAGAGTGCATAGAGTTGTGTGTATTTTTATATATATACAATTTGAACTGTGTTTTTCTTTTTTCTTTTCTTTAATAAAATGTAACTTAAATCCACCCATTATAAGAGATAATGTTTTAAACAAAAGCATCTTAAATCTGCTATGTTACACTCTAAAAGCATGTAATAGATGTCAATATACAGCCTGTTAATATTAGTTATTAAATATGGAATCTAAAGATGAAATATCAAATATTATAAGAGCTTCAGAAATTATTATTGAAATTGTTACCTTCATTGTTACCTTAAAGACAAAATGTTACTTTTTTCCAATGTTACTTTTTATACAATATGTTTTTACTCACCAGAAACAGCTGTTGTTGTCAAATTATACATTGCTTATGTAAGCTTAAGATGCTTTTTTTTAAAAAAAAAATTTAAAAAAAGTTGCTTTGCAAAAAGTTAGCACACTTTCATTAAGCTCAGAAGAAAACAATGCACCTAAAATGCACTTTAAAGGATTTAAAGGGAGACTTGATGTCAGGATGAGCACTGCCTCTCACCGAGTATCATCTTAGAGCTGTCTGGCCCTTGTGCAGGCTTTGCAGCCAGCCAATTGGACAGCACTTCTGCAGGTAGGGTCACCAGACTGTTGCTGGACAGATCCAAGTAGGTGAGGTTCTTGATGTAAGTGGTGGCCTCCGCGGGCAGGGAAGTGAGCTGGTTGTTGTGCAAATCGAGAAGTCTGAGGCTGGGCATATCCATGAGAGATTCCCAAGGAAAGGCGGTAAGGGCATTCCCGTCCAGCCGAAGTTCTTCCAGGTTATAAAGCCCCCGGAAACTGTCCGGGTTCAAGGCGGACAGCGTGTTAAAAGACATCCACAAGAATTCCAAACTGGAGAGGTAGTTGAAGGCTTCGCTGGGTATCCGCTGGATGGATGTCTTCTCAATCCGCAGCTTGGAGGTGTCAACAGGAAACCCGACAGGCACGAGAGATATATCGGGATCATTGCAAATCACGCTCCTAAAAGTCGGAAAATATTTGTGTTAACTTCACAAATTGCATTTGTGCATAGTTTACGAATCACTAAAACTTTAAACTAAATCGACAATTAATGACAACAAATGTGTATTCAAAAGTTCACAAGCAGCAAAAGTTATGTGGATAATGATTTAAAAAAAACTTATTCCCCGTCCTACCAAAACACAAAAAAACATAGATGAAAGCCTGAAAGTGCCTTTGAAAGATAATCCTGCATTAAATAAAATTGGAGCGGCATGCACTCCCTGAATTATCTGTTGTACACGTGTTCACCTCTGTGCAAACATCTGTCCTCATATGATGACAAAATGCATCACTGTGCAAAAAAACAAATAAAACAAAACAAAGAAACAAACACACAAAAAATACCACACAAGATACATTCATTTCACTTTGGGCATCCAACTTACCTCGCCTTTGATCCATCACTCAGGTTGTGGTAAAAGCAGCTGCACTGCGAAGGGCAGGCGCTCACTGGGGAAAAAAGTTGACCCGTGGCCACGTAGAGCCCCAGCAGCAGGACGAGGAACATTTTGGCCAACTTTTATGCATACGCAATTTGCCTACATGCGCCCACTTTGCGCCCACTGAAGTCAATCAGACTATTTTTTTTCTCTTTCATTTACAGGAATGTCATCCGTACGGCGCTGTCCCACCGCTTCGCTGCCCCATAGTGATCAGACTACTATGAGTCCCGAGATAAAAAAGGATAGACAAGGATTAGCGAAAAGGCTGGATGCGTATTGCATCCCGGAATCGGATAGGCTGCGCAGAGACGTCCCTATTTATTACCACAGAAAAACACTTCCGAAATGGTCATAATCCACTGTGATGTTTGCTTTTTTTTCTTTGCCTCAAATGTAGCATGTTTATTTG